AGGGGCCTGAATAGTTGGAATAGGGTTTTGGGCCCATTATCCTATCATGACAACAAGGAACTCCGAAAATAGTATAGGTAATTATTTGGGAGTTTCAGAAAATTAGGGTACCTTATAGGGATCCTATTATTTAGGGTACTATATTAGGGTCCCCTATTTTCGGAAACCCCCATTTAGACCCCTACATTTCCATGAAGCCAACGCCTGCATCTTCAGCTGCTGCGGATTGTCGCAGACAGAAATGATGGCGTTGATTCCTGAGCATAGCGATTAGGGTTTACGGTTTAGGGATAACCCTAAACCCTAAACCCTAAACGTTTAGGGCTCCTGCAACACAGGAGGTATAAACTGATCCCACTTGGCGTGACATGGTAGCGAAAGTAAGCCCTAAGCCCTAAACCCTAAACCCTAAAACTATAAGTGCGAGGCCTGAGCCGGCCTTTGACAGAAGTGAAGGCTGAGGGTAGCTTCACCTCTTAGGCCTAAAGATGCCTCAAGTGCTTCAGCTTTACATTTTTCCGGGTTTACAGTAGGGTTAATAGTCGGTACCATAGTGAGCTACGTCCTAAGCTATAGAACCGGAATCACCAAAGCCATAGGCCCTAAACCGACAGCCCCTCAAAGAAAGGAAAGCCCTACAACCTGGAAAATGTTAAAACCCAGAGACCTGAAGCCCAAACAGACGAGAACTCGACAAGCCCCGCAGCAATCGTCATTTCCTTGGGCCGCCGGCCATTCATGAAGCGCAATGCCATGACCGACCTGCACGCACTATCACCCTAATAGTGCTTGCAATATTGCCGATGTTCTTACCACTATTCTTAATGTTGTACCGGTCTTAATTAGGTGACTCCAGAATGTGCTATTTTCTAGGCTAGCTCGGAACTTGACAATGTTTTGGATCGTCTTCTATCATGAGCCCGGCCGCTTTGTTTTGTCATTTTTCTTTCTGCTCATGGTTTAGTCGTCAATCTTCACTGAGTAGAGGATAAGAGGATGAGAGCTTAGTCTTCAAGGGAGCAGTAGTATTTTCTACGGACTTTGAGGCTGGGTTTTGAAGGGGCTGCAGCGCCGCCTTTTCTGCGGGGTTTGATGGGCCTCAGGCAGAGGCTGTCGAAGGGGTTTAGGAGAGCTCAGGCTCGGGTACCGGGTATATCCATCTGAAGTTTCGGGTTTGCGAATCAGGGCGGCAACCTGAATGTTCTGGCCGCCGCCGCCATTTCCGTACTACTGCTGTGATACTGTACTATTGTACCAGCGCAGTATTGCGTTTTTGTACTTGTCTACCACCATTGAACCACCGCACTATGGCACCATCGTGCTCGGGTACCAGTGTACTACTGTACCACTGGACTTTTGCACCACTATACCATTGCAATGACTAGTTAGTGCATTATTGTACTACTACAGTACTGCACTCGTGTACTTACGCGCTACTCTATCGGGACGCGGGAGTCTGGGGAGCAGACGGGGATCATATTATTCAGGGAAAATGGTTGGGGGGATAAACCCGGTACAGCACTGACAGCATGATTCCTGTGATTGCTACCAGTAAAATGTTTTGTGAATATCCTCATGAACAGTATGGCTAGACTCGCGTCACAAACTTTGAAATCTTTGAACATCTTACATTACGCTCTGCCATATTCACGATGTACGCAAAACAAACGTGCTCATGTCTGTTTTGCATCCGGGAAAGTCGAGTCTGGATTTGTGCAAACACGACTTTTTGTTGCACATATTGTGTAGTTAGGGCTTTAAGGGCTAATGTAGGAGCCTTAATAATTAGAATAGGGTTTTGGGGCCCATTATACCATAATCTTACTAAGGAACCCCCCAAAAAATAGTAGAGGTAGTTATTTCGGCCCCTACATCAGGGGGTAAGGTTTGGGGTTTGGGATGGTTGGGGGCTTTTGGGTGCTTTAGTTAGCAATGACCTTGCCCATTTTCAACCGCTAGACCCCCCCCTATGCCTCAACACCCTTTCCATCACTACATACCAATCCAACCCTCCAATTTTGACCCAAAAACCCTCCATACACCCTTATCCAAAAAAAAACACCTTCTCAACCTTCCACCTCTCCAACGCCTCAACCCCTACACCCTTCCAAAATCTCACCTCAATACCCACCCTAGCAACAACCTTAACCCCATTACCTCTACCCACCTTCAAAAATCCCCACCTCAAGAACAACCTTAACCCTAACCCCTACACCCTTCCGAAAAACACCTTCAACACCTCCAACTCCCCAAAACCTCAACCTTCCCAGCCTATGTCCCGACGAATACCATACACCGCAAACTGGCAAGGTTTGGCTCAAAGAGTTTAGAGGGCTTCAGAGATATGTCTCAAACCGCTTCGGCAGCGCTCTTTTCACAACGACGAGGCCAACGTCATCCCATCTTCCACTCGGCGATGTATTGCTCCACATTTACCACCAGCGTGTCTTCCAACTGCCACTGACCGACAACTTCCTGCTTCCCTGTGTATTTAGCAGCAATCCCTGATGGCGCAATGATGACCCATTTGATGGTCGAAATTGCAGTCAAGGACTCTTGGCAAAATGCGGCCTTAAAGCGCTCCTGCATCGCCCCAATGCGACCTTTGTAGTCTGCAATAACCACAGTGCGGTGATTTTCGCCTCTGGAGCATTGATGAAGAAAAAGTCCGCAGCTGGGAAATTGTCCGAAAGCGGGTGATATATGCAGCCATCTTTCAAGTCGGACTGCGACGCCTTCGCTCCTTGTGGCTGCAAACTTCTGGTTTGGAACGCTAATTTTCAATTTCTTTCCTGCTGGCAGGGAGCTGCATTCCAGCGTTGTTGAGGTTGCTCCCTTATCTGTGAGATGGTTGAGAACCAGTTCCTGGAAGATGTTGCCGACCAATGAACCCAAACGTTTCTCACGCAAAAACTTCTTGCAGAACTGTTTCTGCAGTTCTGCCGTTGTGATAGAAAGTTTGTCGCACAAAATCTCTTGTGCAACTTTGGAATCAATCAACCTCACTTCGTGCTCATCAAATGGAGTCTCCGTTCCTGCACTGGCATGGACTTGTAGCAAATAGCTCATTTTGCTTTCCTTCTTGTCTTCCACGCTCTGGGGCTGCTTGAAGTGTTGCATCAACAAGTCCAAATCTTCCCAGGACCTGACTGACAAATACTCGTTTAATAGATGCCGGGCCGCCTTTTCTAGGCTCTGTTTTTGCCTCCTCTGCACTTCGAACAAATCGCGAAGCCACCGAACACTGCCACCCAGAAGCCAGTAAGCTTCCTTGGCTGTTGTCTCGCCTTTGTCAGGAAACAACACTTTATGATGTCCGCCTACTTCGGCTTCTGACCAAACGGGCATGAAGCGGCGTTCGCTGTGGTTCGACTGCTGCTTCAAACTTTCCTTGTAGTGTGCCTCGTGCAAGGAGACGAAAACGAGGGTGCAACCAAGGGGGCGGTATTGGACATTTTGGGACGTCCCACCCCCGCCCGGGTCTGCCAGAAGCACAACTTCGCGGTTCTGCAAAAGTATGATGGGCTTTTCTTCTCCATGTGCAGCTGTTTCTTTCTTAGACTCTAGCGACCAAAACATTGCCGCTCTTTGAATCACGATGCTGTAGCCCTTCTCCGCCAAGAGCGCAGCCATGTAGGCGAGAAACACAGACTTGCCGATGCCCGGAGTGCCAGTGACAATAAACATGCCCGTCGGGTCTTCTTGAGCATGTTTCTCGTCGAGCCACCCTGTGATTTGCGCACTCATTTGTGCGTAGCACTCGCGCACGATCATCGTCTTTTTCATGTCCCCAACGCCGAGTATGGTGTGTTCAAAATCCTGCACACTATTGGCTTCCCACGCGCTCGGCTTCGGCGTCTTTTGCACCGCCTCATCCAACCACTTGCAGAGGGCGTCTGTTGAAGCAACCTCACACATAATCAGGGAAACAAACACCCCACCAAATGAAAGAAACAACGAAGGCTAAACCCAACCCTACAATCTACGAACCAACAAAAAAAGGGTAAGCTACGGGAATAGTGAAGGAAATAAAAAGGGGAGGGGGCTAGGGTTAAAAGCCGAGGCACTGGTGTTGGGGCGAAGGCATCTTGAATTCTCTGACATATATGCAGACTCACGATTTGTCGCCTCGTTTTCTCTGTGACATGCTCTTCCAACAAAGTCAAAAAATCCGCAAGAGTTGCCCCGCGAAGATTTTGTTCTGGATGCGGCGCAAGTGCATTTGCCACAGCCTCCTTCTGCTCCCGTGGCAAGTCCAGATTTGACAGCTGGTTCTCAAACCACTCTTTTGTCAGCAGCCTCTCTGTTGTCAGCTTCAGTTTCTTCGCAGGGTTTTCTGTCATGGCACATAAAAAGTGTCTAACCTAATGTAGCCTTACACTTGTCCGGTTCTTGATAGAACCGCTAAACATTCGTGTTAGAATTGTGAAGCATTCTTTCAAGAACTATTCTGCGTTCTGTCTAGAACTGTTCATGGCCTGCTACAAGCCGTAAGCAGTCGGCGGAAAACGAATGTTGGAGAAACTTGTTAGGGCATCTTCAAAGACTGCAAATCAGTCTATACCTTTAAGAACTCAAACCTCAAATGCGGTCTGTCAATGCCCTCAATACAACAGTAATTTCGCCCTAATTTCTTTTCAATCTTTTTTGCAGTGTATCGGTTGCTACTCCAATTTTTTCTTTCCTCTAACTTCTTATGAAATGTAATCTTATCATACTTATAGTTTATTGTTCTAACTAGAATAAATTTGGGTTCAACCTGGAATGGTTCATTGTTCCGACAAGAATAATTTGCCATTCCAACTAGAATAAATTGGAAGTTTTCGGTGTAAAACGACACACAACTCACTCGTAAAACAACAAACAACTTACCCGTAAAACGATACGCAACTTACTCGTAAAGCAACAAACAACTCAAATTAAACCTTTAATAACTCAAACCTCAAATACGGTCTATCAATGCCCTCAATATAGTAGTAATTTTGCCCTAATTTCTTTTCAATCTTTTCTACGGTATATCTATTGCTACTCCAATTGCTTTTTCTTTCTTTTTCGTGAAGTTTTCTTTTCCTGAATATCTTAACCTCATCTCCTTTATCAACTTCCGGATATACCCTATTTTTCTTGTCATTCATCCATCCCTAACTTAATTTTAACCTTCATCTCATTCTCCTTTTTTCGTGCTTCTTTCGGAGTTAAGCCGGTGGCCGAGTGTTTCATTTGATTATTATAAGTAAGTAGAATTTCAAGTATATAATCAGTCCATTGAATAGGTCGCGAATGCTCGCGAGGCTCTGCCGAGCGTCCCTTCCCCTTTTTTTCATCAACCTC